TTGTGGTTGGCGATGTTCTGGAGGGAGGCAACAGGGGTGAGATATAGAGTTTGAAGGGAGTGGTGAAGGTTTGGCATATCTGCTGTGAGGCATGGGAGAGGTTGCTTGCCAGAAACATCGAAGTCTGAGAGCCTCTTTCTCCCTTCCCTCCATGTAAATTGAAAAAGCAGGTATGTGGTCAGAAATACAGATGGTACCAAAGGATTTACAGTGAAAAGTAAATCTTCCTTTCACCTTAGATCCCCTGTCCTTATTTTCAGAAGAAAGTTCCATTAGCAGTTTATTAGCTTTCAAATTATTTTTGCAAATATAAATATAAATTTTAAAATATCTATATTGGAATTTATTTTAATCCATGAGAATGTACTGTTCTACTTCTTCCTTTTTCAACTTCCTTTCATAACTTGGAGATCTTTCTGTATATTTAGATCTACTTCATTCATGTTTACAGCTGCAGGATATTTTGTGTATGAATATAGTATAGATGATGTAACTAGCATTTAGATAAGTTCCAATCTTTACTCTCATAAAAGCCATATTGAATGAATAAATTCTACCTTTTAAAATAAAAATTCATTATAGTACCTTAATTCTGTGCCTTAATTTTGGATTTGTTCTGTACACACACACCTTGAACAAACTGATAATATATACATACTAAAACTGAGTTGTCTTTAAAACATAAAGACATCTTCAATATTTGAAACTGATACCCTTAGTTATCACGCTCAATTTATTTCTGGGTTTGAGTGATAAAAAATTCTGTCTTCAGGTGTTTGCTATTTTTAACACTGATCCAAGAATCATTCCTATACATGACTCTTATAATTCATGTGCAAGAGATTCTCCTGGGTATGGAACTATGAATGGAATTGCTGGGTCATACGGTATCAGTAGTAAATATTAAACTTAAAAAGATAATCCAAAGTTTATTTCTAGAGTGATTGCCCCATTTTATCCTTCTACCATACCATCAGTGTATAAGAGATCCTGTTGTTTTACAGTCTTTCCAGTACTTGGTGTTTTCAGACTTTAAAAATTTGCTAGTTGAATGATCTAAAATGGTATCTAGTTGTGATCTTTAAAAAAACTTTAAAAGCGAGATATAATTTTCAACTTTACAATAAAATGCACAGCTCTTAAATATACAGTTCAGTGAGTTTTGACATGTGCATATACCTATATAATCCAATCCCCTATAAAAATTTAGAACATTTTTATTACCCCTTCAGTGTCCTCAGGCTCCTTCCTTGACATTCTTTTCCCTCACCAGAGTGAACCACTATTCTGATTTCTATCAATTTTTTTTTAAAAAAATCATCTTTTCTCACCATCACAAACTTCTTTTCTCCCATTCTCACTCTCTTTCTTAATATGTCTTTTAAAAAATTTGTGGTCAAATATACGTAACAAAAAATTTATCATTTTAACCATATTTAAGTGTACAGTTCAGTGGTATTAAATGCTTTCACGTTGTGCAGCAATCACCACCATCTATCCCCATAACTCCTTTCATCTTGTGAAACAAACCCCCATTTTCCCCTCCCCCCCAGTCCCAGGCAACCACAATAATGCTTTCTGTCTTTATGACTTTGACTACTCTAAGTACCTCATGTAAGTGGAATCATACAGTATTTGTCTTTTAGTGACTGGCTTATTTCACTTAGCATAATGTCCTCAAGGTTCATCTGTGTTGTAGTATATTTTCCCTTTCTTTGTAAAGCTGAATAATATTCCATTATATGTATATACCATATTTTGCTTATCTATTCATCTGTTGATGGATACTTGGGTTGCTTCTATGTTTTAGCTATTATGAAAAATGCTCCTGTGAACTTGGGTGTACCAATATCTCTTCATGATCCTGCTTTCAGTTCTTTTGGATTTATACCCAGAAGTGGATTTGCTGGATCATTTGGTAATTCTGTTTTCATTTTTGAGGAATCACCATATTGCTTTCCACAGCAGAAGTACCATTTAAAATTCCCCTGAACAGTGCACAAGAGTTCCAGTTTCTCCACATTTTGCCAAAACTTGTTTACTATTTTTTTCATAGTAGCCATACTAGTGGGTGTGAGATGTAGTTTTGATTTGCATTTCCCTAATGATTAGTGATGTTGAGCATCTTTTCCTGTGCTTATTGACCATTCATATATCTTCTTGGGGAAATGTCTATTCAAGTCCTTTGCCCATTTTTGAATAGGGTTATTTTTGTTGTTGTTGTTGAGTTTTAGGAGTTCTCTATATATTTTCGATATTAATCCCTTATCATATATAAGATTTGCAAATATTTTCTCCCATTCTGTGGCTTGCCTTTTTACTCCATGAATAGTGTCTTTGGACGCACAAAACAAAAATTTTCACGAAGTCCAATTTGTCTGTTTTGTCTTTTGTTATCTATGCCTTTGGTGTTAAATCCAAGAAATCATTGCCAAATCCAATGCTCTGAAACTTTTGCCGTATGTTTTCTTCTAAGAGAAAGGTCTTACATTTAGGTATTTGTTTTAGGTCTTACATTTAAGTATTTGATCCATTTTGAGTTAACTTTTGTATATGGTGCTGGTGAGGGTTCAACTTCATTCTTTTGCATGTGGATAACCAGTTTTCCCAGTACCATTTGTTGAAAAGACTTTCTTTTCCTCATTGAATTGCTTTGATGACTTTGTCAAAAATCAGTTGACAGGGACTTCCCTGGTGGCACAGTGGTTAAGAATCCGCCTGCCAATGCAGGGGACACTGGTTCGAGCCCTGGTCCAGGAAGATCCCACATGCCGCGGAGCAACTAAGCCTGTGCGCCACAACTACTGAGCCTGCGCTCTAGAGCCCACGAGCCACAACTACTGAGCCAGTGTGCCACAACTACTGAAGCCCGTGTGCCTAGAGCCCATGCTCCGTAGCAAGATAAGCCACCACAGTGAGAAGCCCGCACACCTCAACAAAGAGTGACTCCTGCTCACCGCAATTAGAGAAAGCGTGCGTGCAGCAACAAAGATCCAATGCAGCCAAAAAAAAAGTCAGTTGACTGTGTATGTGTGTGTCTGGGTTCTGTCTTCTGTTCCATTGATGTATTTTTCTTCTTTTTGCTGATACCATACTATCTTGATTACAGTAGCTTTATAAGTTTCGAAGTCAGATAGTGTAAGTTCTCTAATTTTGTTTTTCTTAAAGATTTGTTTTGGCTCTTCTAGGCTCCTTGTATTTTCATTTAAATATTAAAATCCACTTTACCACTTAGGTTTTAGGATTAGCTTTTCATTTTCTGAAAAAACGTTTGTAGATTTTGCTTCACACTGTACTTACTCCACAGGTCAATTTGGAGTGAGTAGGCATCTTAACACTTTATAAACATGATATCTCACTCCACTTATTTAGATCATCTTTAATTTCTCAAGAGCTATGTATTATTTTTTTTAGTTTTCAGTGTACAAGTCTTCTACTTTGATTTTTTAATGCTATTGTAATGGCATTTTAAAAGTGTTTCATTTCCAGTTGTTCATTACTAGTATATCATTTAATTTTGTATATTGGCCTTTGTAAGTTTTAGTAGCCTTTTTTTTTCTTAAGATTTTCTAGGCTTTACTATGTAACTGATATGTTTGTAAGTAAAGACAGTTTTACTTCTTCCTATCATTTATTTTTTAAATTCTTTCTATCATCCTATCATTTTTCCCTTGCCTTATTTACTAACTAGAACCTCTAGTACAATTTTGAATGCAAGTGGTGAGAGCAGACATCCTTGGATTGTTCCTGATTTGGGGGAGAAAGTTTTCAGTCTTTCACCATGAAGATGTTATCCTTGGGTTGAGTAACCCTTTCTATTCCTCGTTTGCTGTAAGGTTTTTTGTTTTTTTTTAAATCATAGTGGATGATGTTGAATTTTAATTGTGGTCATAAAGGATTTTTAAAAAGATATAATTGTGACTCTCATACAGATATAAAATTGTCACTTGTCAAGTATTTTATTTAACTCACTATTGAGGAAACTGGTAAGATGTTAAAATCAGTTCAAAGGGAAATTTGAAGAGCTACTCATTTATGTGTAGTAAAGGGATGCTGAAATAAAATTTTCAAATAAATGCAAAAATTCGTATATCTCCTGTGCAATTACCAATTGTAATCCACTGGACACAAGTAATTTGCTCTGTTGTACACAAGAATAATTCACATTATCATCAATTTTCTACATTTCATCAAATTGAAAAATTGCTCAAAGGCAATGAAAGATGGAGGTGATGTATGTGTGAACTTGAGAGAAGATTGACTGATTTTTATTTGTTTGTTTCTTTGTTTTTTGGTCCATTACAAAGCTTTCCATGGTTTTTCGTGACACAGGGTCTTGCTTTGAAAATCTGTGATCCCCAGTGATGAACAGTTTTTCGTACATGTGTTGGTTATATGTTGCATTCTGCTGTGAAATGCCTCTTCATTGTCTCTTGCCCATTTTTCTGGCCATGTTCTGATTGTGTGTGTATGTGTGTGTTACTCCTTTATATGTTATTGATAATAGTGCATTACAAGTTGTGTGTATTGTGAACACTTTTTGCTAGTTTATAACTTGTATTTTTACTTTCTTGAAGGTATTTTTTGATGAACAGTGGTTCTTAGTATAGTCAAATTTTTCTTATTTAAGAAAATTTTCCTTACCCTGTGGTCAAAAGATAGTCATCTTTTCCACTAAGTTTTTTAAAGTTGTTTTCGATGTTTAAGTCTTTGATCCATCTGGTGTTGATTTTTCGTATGGTACAATGTTAGGATCAAATTTCACCTTTTTAAAAATAAATAGATGTTATGGACTGACTGTATGTCATTCCCCCTACCCCAAATTCGTATGTTGAAGCTCTAACGTCCAATGTGTGGTATTTGGAGGTGGGGCCTTTGGGAGATAATTAGGGTTAGATGAGGTCATGAAGGTGGGGCCCTGGTTCAGTGAGGTTAGTGCTTTTATAAGAATAGATAACCAGAGAGCTTGCTGTTCCTTTCTGTCTTCTATGTGGACACAGCCAGAAGGTGGCCATCTGCAAGCCAGAAAGGGAGCTCTCACCAGAACCTGACCGTGCTGGCACCCTAATTGCAGACCTCCAGCCTCCAGAACTGTGAGGAAGTATTTCTGTTGTTTAAGCTATCTTGTCTATGGTATTTTGTAATGGTAGCTCGAAAAGACTAAAACATCTTGTTTTACACTTACTCTTTGGTACTTGATATTTTACTCTGTCAGACAGTGCTTCTGTGGGGAGGATCAGGTTTATGTCTCAGTGATATCAGGGTAGGAGTTAGAGAGCCCCAGGCCTCAGAGAGCTTGAGTCAGTCAGTCACTCCTAACCCCATACAATATAATCTCAGGTCACTTCTTTACTGTTTCTCTTGAGGAAGAGGTTTGTGTAGGAGCAGAGGGGTGATGTGAAGAAGCAGCCAAGGGAGGTTAGTGTGTATCCAGCTGTTTTTCTCAGCTCCTATTTTCCGGAGGACCAGAGACCAGAGGTTGTCCCATATATGGGACCACGTCGTGTGCACATAGTTGCTGGGACACGAGAAAAGCAAAAACAGAACTTCAGTAGTTCTTTTTCTGTTTTGTTATCCCATGGCTTTGGTGGGCTGCCTCTTGCCTCAGGCCAAAGCCACCATTCCACACATACCAGTTCAAAATGGGTCTTTGTCACCGCAGGTGTTTCTCATAGGTCTCTCCATTTTTCCTGTGTAACTTCCCCAAGGGCTGATCTTCTGAAAGGGCATCAGCAGTTTTGCTAACTCATCATCTCTGTAGGAGTTGGAGCCAGTGTATAATTTTTCCTGGTCTTCTTAGACTTCCTTTGTATAATTACAGGTAACTTTAATCTGACCGAGCCAAGTGAGTAAGTTGAAGATTCCTCAGTCACCTGTAAGCCTTCTTGCCATGTCTGAAGCCCTCTATAGAGGCTGTGTAGAGGTGTAGGCTGGCTGTAACAAAGAGTCCTACAGAATCTTTTTGACCATCCAGTGGTATTTCACTGAATTTTCACCCAGCCAGTGTTGGCTTTTTGGAGCCAGAAAGCCAGCCTTTAGGTGGTGTGAGTTGCTCAATTCTAAGAGGGTCTCTGACTTAACGTGGCTGTCTTTCTGCTTAGTCATATTACTTTAAATTCTAACTCTGGATAGTCATTCTTACCCAAAATGGCCCATGAATTTTAAAGTATTTTATTGCATCTTTCATGTAATTTGTATTCTGCTTATAATGAGTATATTCATATTAAAATGTTTTAAGTTTCTACATCAAAGAGAGTTGGTGCTCCAGGAGAAAGTACTATATTTATCCTGTTGTTTTTCTTACTCTCTGCTCTACCTCTCTGCCCCCCTCAAATAGTCAATCCACCACATCATGCTATCTTCCATTATAAATCCATGTGTTGTACTTATTTTCCTTCTTTCTGTGCGCTTCCAGGGGAGAGGCCAGGACCTGTTTCTCATTTATTTTTGTATTCCTAGCTCTGGCATAGGTCCTGCCAGATTTGCCACAGAGTAGGTGCTCTATAATTGTTGAAGCAGTAAATACATAGCAAAGTACTTAGGATTCATAACAGGAGTTGCTTCCTAGGGGGAAAAGTATGTACTCATAATCATGTTGGGTCCTTATTTTGGCGTAGTTAGAATAAATGGTATGTGGGGTAGTTTGTAGGGGAGGGCTGGATTGAAAAGTACTTACTTGTAAGCTATGTCAAAGGTTATTTTTTTTTGGTGGTACGTGGGCCTCTCACTATTGTGGCCTCTGCCGTTGCGGAGCACAGACTCTGGACGTGCAGGCTCAGCGGCCATGGCTCACGTGCCTAGCTGCTCCGCGGCATGTGGGATCTTCCCGGACTGGGGCATGAACCCGTGTGGCCTGCATCGGCAGGCGGACTCTCCACCACTGCGCCACCAGGGAAGCCCTGTCAAAAGGGTTTGATAGGGATCTCTGAAGGGTCTTAAGCAGGAGGTTAACATGTTTAATATTTTGTTTTAAGAAGGTGATTTTGAGAATAGTATGAAATATATATTGGAACAGAGAGACTGCTTGGAAAGTAGTCCAGACAGAATGTAACTGAAGAGGGGGTAGACTCCAGAGAGGTTTAGCAGGTAGAATCTATAGAACTTGATGACTGATATTATTAACTGTTGGTTGGGGGAGGATGGGGGCAGGGAGAAGGAGAGGAAGAAATCAGGGATGACTCCTACATTGTGCAATTAAATGGATGGTAGTGCTATTTATTCCCAATGCATGTTCATGTGTAGAAATAGCTTGTGGAGTAGGGATGGATAGGGTTTTGAAATAATTTAGTTTGAGATTTCTCTGAGATATTCAAGTGGAGATGTGCAGATCTGTGTATAATTCTTGGAGAGAGGTGGGGGCTTGAGGGAGAGATTTTTGGGTTAATAGATTTTCAGGAGTGGTTGAAGAAGAAATTGCTCAGGATTTGAGTACAAAAGCCTTGAGCACATCTAGTTTTAGTGGACAAGTACAGAAAAAGGCACTGGGAAGGAGATCAAGGAGAAACCGGGTGTTAATAAAGGATTTTTCAGTAACACCGTTGGCTTCCTCTCTTCCTGGAGACCAGATTTTCCTTTCAGCACCCTCTATTTGATCTTTGTCTTCAGACCTTTTCTTACTTTGAGCATTCTCTGCTGCGAGAGATTGTAGGTGAAAATAGTTTTACTTTTGAACCCAGCAATTGCTGGTTCCTTTATATTTCCTTAAATTTTGCTTGAAAACAGAATACTTTCTTTAACTCATCTCTCTATCTGTACCTTCTACAATACTATACATATAAAAGAAATCAGTTGACACTTTGGACCTTCTGCTTGGGAATTACCTTAGCTAGAAGTAACAGTTCATTATCAACATTTTCTGCTTTTTAACTTAGCACAGGCAACAGTTTTACTAAATTTTCTGCCGCTTTTTAACAAGGGTCTTCTTTCCTCCAGCTTCTGAGAGCATTTTACTCACTCCTTTAAGGCTTCTCCAGTAACCTTCCCAAGGCTCATCAAGCTTTTGCTAATGAGATTCTTAGGGCCCTTCCACCTTGTGTCTACCACCCAATCCCAAAGCCAGTATCACATGTTTTTGTTATGTTAGTACTCTAGTTCCAGGTACTGAATTTTGTTCTGGTAATCGCTGGTTAATCGCTGTTTAACAAATCACCCCAAACCTAGTCCCAGAACCTGCATGACTTTTCCTTAACCAGCATTAGAAGTCACTCAGTGTCACTTCCACCACACTCTCTTGGTTACTAGCAAGTTAAGTGCCACTCTGGATTTAAGGAGAAGGGAATTAGGCTCTACCTCTTTATGGGGAAGTGGCAAATTGACATCATAGAAGAGCATGTGGAATGGGAGATATTTTTGCAGCATGTTCGGAAAATACAGTTTGCCCCAGATGGATGAAATAAAATACATAGGATTACAAAGGAAAGCAATTATACTAAAATATCATTACCAAACAAATTGTGATAAAGTAATATGTGCTTAATTAACATACTACACAACAAGATATAGTGGCAGGCCAATAGTAATTTAGTAAATTTGTAAGTACAGTATATATATTAGTAATTTTAGAGGTTTGGAGAAAATAAAGAAATAATTTATTTTGCCATCTAAGTTCATGGATCTTCTGAATTCTATCCACAGACCCTACTGCCCTAGGTTAAGAACTCTTGGATTAATATAATGGTGTTAGCAGAAGTCGTATTGCTGTGGACTGGAGAGGGAATTTGCATGAGGGCAGAGACGAAAGGGAGGACACCATAGGGTAAGTTCTATATAGTAGGATTTATTTGCCTTTTAAGCTAAAGGTTTTGTTGTTTTTTTAGGTAGAGACTTAAATGTGTTTATGTAATGAAGGAAAGATACTAGTGAAGAGAGAAAGTTGAATACATTGGTAAGATAAAGGGTATTTCAAAGGTTTCTGAGAAGGCAAGAGAGAGTGTGGTCTTGAGCTTAGGTGAAAGCATTAGTCCTGGATGGAAGGAGAGGCAAAAGGAAGGGAGTTATGGATGTTTGCAGGTGCTGTTCTTTTATCAGGTCACATGCATTGAGAAAAATATAGATAAATAAATTCAACACAGGAGCGAGGGAGGCCAAGGCGGGCCTCAGAGAACGTTACAGCAGAGGTCCTGGAAAATAAAAGAATTTTGGGATTAGGGTAGGCAGGAAAAGGTAGTGAAATAAAGACAGAAAAAAGTAACTGATAATGTAAGTGATTGGATGCAGAAGACAAACTTTGCCTAGTTTACAGTTTTGTTTAGTGCCTTCTGTAGGCCAGTTCTCCTTACTATGGATATGGAGACAAAGAAAGGTGGAATGAGAATAAAATGCAGTTATATATTTCGATATCTGCTTATTTAGAGTTAACTTTTTCTAAGTGTATTGTTTAGCATATGTAATTAATACTTGTAATGCCTTTGAAAGCCGAGGAGCTTCTTTTTCATGGTTATTTGGGATTGATATTGAAAAGCAGTATGTGTGTTTGCTGCTTCCATGCTTACAGCTGGATGGAAATTGGCTTCAAAGGGTCTATGGTTTTCTTTGTCATTAGCCAACAGATGCTTGCCACAGTGTTTTGCTCACTGAGTCTTTATTTAATGTGAGGGTAATGCATCTCTGTACACTCATGAGAAGAGCTGTGCAATACAGTAGCTCATTTGTGTATAACAAATATCTGCCTTTAGCCACACATTGATCCTTCACTAAATGATTTTTCTTTTTTGTTTCACCAGCCTGTTATCAACACCTGGTTGGCTTATCTGTCTTCAAATTGCTTTGACTTTCTAGTATGTTGATCCTGACTTTAGTATGTCTGTTTTATAGGGGAAATATTTTCTGTCAGAGCATTCTTCAGAAATTCTCAAAAAGTTAAAAAATTAAAAATTTCAGATCAGGACTATATATCATTAAAAAAGTTAGGTTTCTAGGCACAAATATTCATTTATACATGAGTATGGTATGAAACTGCTAATTTTCAATATTGCATATAATATATGCAATATTGTAATATTGTATATATTATATATACTTATGTATATATAAACTTATATATTATAAAATATATTTTACCGCAATAAAATATTTCTTAAATGTTTATTTATAATATATACAATATTACAAATATTATATATATACATACATATATATATTTAAAATTGTGGTAAAATGTCTAAGCTTTCTCCACAGCCCCTATCTTCCCTCAGCAACTGCCCCTTGGCTACCTTTCAGGCCTGGGGTTGCACATACCTGCATGAGGACCTTTCCTGGAAATGGGCTCTGCCATTTAGGCTAGGAGTTCTGGGATTCCAGGTCGGTGGAAAGTGGTCTCTTGGGGTGAGACCAAGTAAAGTGACACTTCCTCTTGGCCCTTTTCTCTGCTTATTACATGGAGAGAGGTGTGGCCACAGGAAGGCCAGATCCTGTTGCCTTGATCTAAGGGTAGTAGTGATTTTAATAGTCTTTTAATAAATCTACTAGATTTAGTTGCCTCCAAGTTTATTCCTTCCTTCTGTTGTATAGCCAGAAGGATTTCTCTAAACCAAAATCATTATCACATCCCTGCCTGAAACTTTTTAGTGCTTCACATTTTCGTTGAGATAAAGGCTAAACTCCTGACGTGGCTTTTTGAAGATCCTTTGTGCCCTGTTCTGGTCATTGCTTACTTTTGCTATTATTGAGCTCTGTTGTTGCCCTGCCAAATAAGTACTCTTTTCTACCTATACAACTTTGCACAGGCTGTAGGTCTGTCCTACTCCCCTCTCCTCATGAGCAATCTCTAGTATATTTACCAAACTCCTACTAATCGTTTAATGCTCAGTGATTAGTGCACATTTTTTATAGCACTTGTTGCATTATGTAATATTTGCCTTTCTGTAAGCCATGCCCTCTGCCTCCAAAGGCAAGGGCTAATTTGATTCAGCATGCTGTTTCTTGTACTGATAGTGCGTGGTACACAATAAGTGCTTAATAAATGTGTGTTGAATGAAGACTGTAATTAGTGGAACACTTTAAATGTGAATTTCTCTAGAGAACTATGTTTGCAGAAAACTCCTGCATAACCAAGGTGATTGAGGAATGGAGTATTTCAATTATTGATTATGCTACATAACAGTGAATTTCAAATGATCAATTTTAGATAATTTTAATACAGAACAAAATGGATTAATACAGAATTTATCTGTATTAATTCATAAGATGCTTCAGCATGATCATTCTGAATTGTGTGGCTTTTTTAGAGCTATGGCTGAGGAAGCTGTGAGGATCAAGTGTTACCTGTAGTGTTGCTTTTTCACAAGCTGGGCCTTGTTTTATCAGTTGAATCTCTAACATATTTACTGAGTGTTTTGTCTACCTAAAAAGTATACTATAAAATTAACACTAGGTAAAAGGGATTCAAAATTGCATTATTATCAAATATAGTTTTAAAAATGCTCAGAAGACAGGCAAGCAACGTACCTTAAGGTGTATGCACAATCTCAATTCACCAGAAAGCTTAGTACATTCAGGCTGTGCCTTTTGGATGACAATCCTTGATGAGTCCAAGTGAAGTCTTATGAACTGAGCTAAGCAGTTACTTTGATGGTAATCTCTGGCCATAACTATTTCAAGTGCTTGATCCCCACCCCAGTTATATATTTATTCTTCTCTTACATAGGAAGGTAGTGTGAGTGATTGCTGCTCATTTGTGTGTTAATGTAATGGTTCTTTTCTCTCACTCACCCAAAAATAATGTTGCCAGTTATTAGTTGCAAAACTCAGAAATTACTTTTATGCATTTGGCCCTCCATTTTCACATCTTTGAACGTGGTTTTGAGCAGAGACCTGTTTGGAACTCGGGGAACACGCTCTTATTTGCACAAACGGTCTGAAAACCTTCATGGTAGCTGAGCTCTGACCTCCTACATTGCTGTGCCATGTTCTCTTGTTAAACCTAGAAATCTTCCTTCAAAGCTTGATCCCTTTTAAAGCAAGAATTTGGAATATCAAGCAGATGTATATATATTTTTAATGACATTCAGAAAAATGTACTGTAAATGTAACTATTATTTAGATGCTGTATTTTTCAATTGGCTCATCTCTACTTGAGTCCTTTTAATCAGTTTCCCAGCCTGTCCCTTCAGCTGCATAATAATGCAGTATTTGTAGCATAATTATTTTATGAAAGTGAATCATCTTAAGTACAAGAACTGATTGACCTACGGGTTAACTACAGAATCTTACATGAAAGAAAGGGCAATTTAAAGGATTAAGTAATTTTTAAGAATGTGAATATTGGGGTCATCAGTGATAGAAACAACGTACTGCTTGATATGATAAAATATTCAGCAACTCACTAACCCAGCTGTCCTGTTTAAATAATCTATGAACAAACAGAATAAAAATAATTCTTGCTGCCGTGCACTAAACCAGTATCTACTGAGGTTTTAGTTTGGGAAATATGTCAAAAAACTTGTCTTTGATTTGAGCATTTTTATGTTAAGAAGCTGATTGATTCTATTAAATACAGAATGGAAACATCTATGTCTTTGTAGTATGACTTTAACATAATTATTAATTGAGTACAAGAATGTGATTGCTTGCTAAGGCATAGTTTTTTGTATTAGTCAAGTTATGAGTAAGAAAGGCTTTCAGTCTCTGTCTTAAGACAAGCAGTATTCAGTGTCCCAGGTTTTACTCATGGTTCCATCACTAACTGGCTAGCTAACTTTGGTGCCTTGGGTTTTCTCATGAGTCAAATTAACTACCTCATAGTGAAGATCAACTGGATCTTGTATGTGAAAGTCCTCTATAAAATGTATGCCACATTTAGTAGTTAAGCAAGATTTTAGCCCCTTTTCTGCCTGCTTTTTAACTTTGGGCTGGTCACTTAACCTCTCTGAGCTTTTATTTCTTCATAGGTAAAACAGAGGAGTTTGGCCTGTAGTATATTCAACGGGAGGAGTACTATTTACATTGTATTTATTGCTTATAACCTATAATTTATTATTTTCTCTCTCTCTTTTTTTAACATGTGTTTGCCCCTATTCCTTTAATGGATATTGTGATTACCGTGTAAGACTGGATTCCATTAATCTTCACCTATTACGTTTCATTTAATCTTCCTCTCAATCTTGTGAAAGGAGTTGGTATTATCCTCATTTTACTGATGAGGAAAACTGAGGTTCAATTTAGTGTTAGAGGTAGGATTCTAGATGCCAGTGTTCTTTTTTTTAAAATAGCATGTGGCTTGAAGACACATTGCCACATACCTCATCTAAAGCAAGCTTTTGATCTCCATTATTTTTCTATTCTTTTGTCCCAAAATGAATAGAGCCTTACCAAAATGCTTTTGTAGAGAAATGTGTCTATTCAATAGCAGTAAGCATGGTTCGGGAATTTTTACATTATAGACCATTACAAAAAATCTTGTTGGCATTATGCAGCAGTGCTGTATATCCGTGAATCTTTCAGTGCTGGAAAATATAGTTTGTCCTTCAAATAAGATGAGTTCTATTTTAATAGATGTGTTTTATTTTTAAAATATAGCATTGTTTAATGTTATAGATGCTTTTAAACTCAAAGACTTATTTTGTGCTTACCAGTACTTACTAATTTTTTTTTTTTTTAAATCCTAATTTGTGATTCTAGGAAAAGCATTACCCATGACAAACTTTTCAAAAATTTCTGTTCTAGGCAGGTATTATTTTATGGTATCCATTGTTTATATTTAAATTTTAAAAAGAGATCTATCTCTGGACTATCTGGAATAAGTAGATCTGGCAGGGA